ATCCTTTCGAGGAACATGTGAGCGACGAACAAGCGGGTCCAATTGTGCCGACATTCGCGCGTAAGCTACTCGCGTAAGGTCGCGCGTAAGCGCCGTCGTCTCCACTGCGGCGTGCCGCGCCGGCGCCCCGCGTAGGCCGCGCGTAAGGTCGCTGTGTCATCCCGCGCAAGACCCGTTTTTGATCGACGTTCAAGTGGCGACAGAAGCATGACCTTTCGGAGGTCCGCGCGGAGTTCTTGGAACGGCGCTGGCCAGCGCGCCTCGCCGCCCCATGGCGCGCTCCACGCGCCAGGGATTGGGTCCAGCTCCGATCCAAGATATCCGAGCAGACCTCCGAAAGCTGAGACAGGCTTCGAGGTTGACACCAACACCAGTACCGGCGTTGTGCCTTCACCTGAAGACGAAGATCCCGATCTCGGTGATGGTGGCAATAGTTTGGCTTCCAAGGTGACCGAACTGTTACCACCAACACCGAACTCGAGGATCATCTTCCCAGTGCAGAGGCAACCCCCAGTCTTGGTGTTGGTGCCCATTTCCAGGCCTCCAATATATACATATATATATATATACATACACAAAACTGCAGTGGCGCTTCGCGCCATGCACCTTGGTCCTTGAAGTTTGGTACGCAGGCGGAATGGCAGGAAGGTCAAGCCGACAATTTAGCGATACTTCCTAGTTGCCTTTTTCCAGCATCGCCGCTAAAATGATCTTATTCGTTATCCTTATTCGAGGCTTCTTTTTCCTCGTTCTCGCCATAATCCTGCGCATGTTCCCCATCCTCCTTAGCTCTTTTTGCGGAGGCTCCTCCTTGGAGAGCCTTCGGGGGCCTCACAAAAGTTTCAGGCTTTCTTGGGCCGCCATGGGGCTCTCTTAGGGTCATGTTTGACCCCTGTTGTGCCGTTTTTGGGCTCTCTTGGACTGCCTGGAAGCCCTTTCGGCTGGTTGTGGGGCGATTTTGGAGCATCCCAGGCGACTTCGGACGCCCAGAAGACTGCCGTATTGGAGCGTCGGGAAGCCGAAACGAGGAGAACCCCTAAATTCAACAAAACCCTCAGACAATCTACATGTTTTGCCTCTTGTGGCCTTCTTGGGAGTGCTCTTGGAGGCTTTTTGAGGCCTTTGGGGCCGTCCTGGAGGCCTCGTGGGCCATCTTGAGGTCACGTCGGTCACTCTTGGAGCGCTCTTGTGCTGTCTTGGGGGTCTTTGGGACGTCTCCGATGCCCCCCCGATCGCCCTAGATGTGCTGGGAAGGCTTGGCAAAACGCACTGCAAGGCCAGGGGGGCCGCTTCGAGGCCCGTCTGGAGGGTCCCCAAGCCCCATATATATATATATATATATATATATTTATATATATATATATATATACAGAGATCCATATGCATACATATTTCGTCATACATATATATATATGTATACATAGCGTGTTGATCCTCGGCCTTCGGCAACCCCCGAAAGACATCCGCACGCACCCCCGAAATCGTGTGCCTGTGCCGGGTTTTGTTCTGCTCGCCTGCCGTCGTTGACCAGCTGGCACTGCCCGGCCCCCTGCCAGCGGTCTGCTTCAACGGCGCGTGCGCCGCGCTGCTGAGGGCGGGCGCGCCTGGGCCCGAGAGCGTGCTCTTCTCGGAGGCGGGCCAGTCGAGACGGCGGCGGCCCTCAGACCCCCTCGGGTAATAAAAGCTGGTCCAGGGGAATGCCGGGGGCGGCAACGAGGGGGGTGATGACTAGGAGAAAGGGGGATCTCATGGCGGGGGCCATGATATCTCCCCTGATATCATGGCGCCTCTTCTTCTTTCATTGCGTCCCTGGCCCCCCGGCTGGGCCGCGCACATGCCGCCGGTCATGATTTGCACCCCCCCCTTATGGACCCCCCCCCTCTAGGCCCTAGGCCGCTCCCGAGAATGGGTCAAGACCTGTGAGGGTCGACGTCATGACAAAAATCATGACGTCGGGGGTCTGGGTCCCTGGCAGTGCTACGACGGCGAAATCCGAGCCCCGCCCCCGCTGGTCAGCGGCTCAGGCAGCTCGGTGCGCGGCGGGGGTAGGGTGCGGAGCTCGTCGAGCACGCGGCGAAGTCCGAGCCCGTGACCCCTGCCTCCCGTCCCATCCAGGAGAGTCGATGGTCGGTGGGGGTAGGGCTCGCGTGTCGCCACCTGCCTCCCTGGCAGTTTGAGTGTCTCTGGGACTCCCGGCGCCCGCTTGCTCTCTAACCCCGGGGACGGGGCGCGGGCGCTTCTTGTCACGGGCGTGATCGCGAACAGGCGAAGCGCGAAACCGGGAGGCTCCCGTTGCCGCGGCTGGATGCGAATGGAAGAGCGATTCAGGAAGGACCCCCAGGTCGGACCGGGCCTCGTCGTACTGCGATGCAGTCACGACAAGGGGAGGTCTGGCAATTTTAAGCCTCCGAGGGCCCTCGCTGGGCCCCAGAACCGTCAGAAAGCAACCTGGGGTGAAACGCCAGTCCCGGGGAAGTGGTCTCGACCTCTTGGGGGTCGATGTTGCAAACAGAGAAACGAGATGTCGGGATTCTGGATCACCTTTTCGGGCGGAGATAGGACGAGCATACATTCGTTCCAGAGCATTCGGAACGCTCTAAGAGCGTTTCAGAACGCTCAGAGAAGGCCTCGGCGCTTGAGACATCTTCCGGAGCCGCCAGATCTCAGAGATCCTCGGTTTATCCTCACCCGGTTTTATCGTCGTCCTGACTTCGTCTTAGGGGGTTGGGCGCCTATCTTGCGTGGATCAGCGTCGATCAGCGTCGATGTCGCGCCGATCAGCGTTAATCAGCGTCGATCCGCAAAAAGTCAGCAAGATGGTAAGCATCAGGGGCAACTGTAGGGGGAGGGGGATAGGCATAGGGGGGAACGCATCGACCCCCAATCGCCCATTGATCGCCGATAGGGGTCCGATAGCCCCAACCTGCCCAGGAACGTGCGGATTCACTATCGGGGGCCTGTCGCCCAGATATCGGCGATGCATCGCCGATTCCAGGTCGATGTTTTCCCCCAAATGCCCAGGCGCCCCCCCTTCTCGTGGCCCCTCGAAGTATTGGAGGGGAGCTGCCGCCGAGCAACTTTGAGCGGATTTGGGCAGGGGCGGGTGAGCCGCCGTTGTCTCAATAGGCCCCCCTCCGATCGTCACGCAGGGCCTGGCGCCCGAGGCCGCGCGGCGGGTGCTCGCGCTGGCCGACCAGCGGGGCTGGTGCGCGTCCTGCTGCCATCCGAAGAAGAGGCGTCGGAAGAAGCAACAGCCTTCGGAGGCCCGCGCTTCTCCTCTTCCTCCTCCTCCTCTTCCTCCTCCTCCTCCTCCTCCTCCTCATCCCCCTCCTCCCACTCCTCCTCCTCCTCCTCCGTTTTACACTAGCCCGACTTAAAACATCGAATGAATTGCATTCCTCTTCATCCTCCTCTTCCTCCTCCTCTTCCTCCTCCTCCTCCTCCTCCTCCTCCTTCTCCTCCTCCTCCTCCTCCTCTCCCTCCTCCGTTTTACACTAGCCCGACTTAAAACATCGAATGTGTTGCGTTCTTCTCCTCCTCTTCCTCCTCCTCTTCCTCCTCCTCCTCCTGCGCGGTTTCCTCGAATCCGCGCTGGACCTCAGAGGAGGACACCATTTACCGATACCCGCTACCCTTCCCTCGGCGTGGAGCGAGGTCGGGGCCAAGGGGGATTGGAGCGGATGTCTTTGGGGGGCCTCCTGCCCCCCTCCTGTTTGGCTATTTCAATTATAGCTGCGCTTGCATGGCAGATCAATTGCTTCCGTTCCGTACCGATACCCCTGCCCCTCCTTCATTGTCGTTTTTGGAGGCCTCATTGGAGGCCTTCGTCGCCACGGCTGGAGTCGCCTCGACATCTGGGTCAGAACGCACTCTGGGAGAGGTCCGGGGACCCCCCTTGGCTCCAGGCCGCCCAAACCGTGGTCGAAGTAGACGGGGTCGCAGGATCGCGCCGCATCGCCGATGCATCGGCGATGCGGCTCGATGAGGAGCCCCTCTTTTCTGCGCCGATGCATCGTTGATTGCATCGCCGATTCATCGCCGACGTCGCCGACATCTCGCCGACGCATTGGCGGTGCATCGGCGATTTGGCGCGATTCCCGGCTGCTCGAGCTCCCTGTCGGTGCCGACCAAAAGCACAGCCGCGCAGGCAGGCGGGCAGGCAGGCAGCCGCGCCCTGACGGCACCATCGGCAGAAGACAGCATGCGGAAGGCATGGCTTGTGTATGCCATGACAGTGGACGCCCTGACCGTTCTCTCGTCGATTTGAGAATGTCTTTCATCAGATGTCTTCTGCATGCTTTAAAGCATGTTCGAAGCATGCTTTCTATATAACAAAAAACATGTTCCGGCTCTTGGGAGACATGCTTAAAACATATGTGAGACATTTGGAACGTATTTGGCCATACGTCTCCTCTCCATTGATCGTCTTCCACAAGACATACCTGAAAACAAATGCAATACTATATGCGTGCAAACGCCGAGCCAATGCAGTGTCTCGCGGAAAGCATGCGCCAGGCTCTCTATTCCGGAGCCTCGCGAGGGAGAGCCGCGCGGAGTTCCGAACACTTGTGTGCGTGTCCCCCTTCTTTCTTCCAGCACCAGACTCTCGACGTCATGATTTGTCCATAGCGCCGACCCCCAAAGGCCTCGGCACGTTCCCTGGGACCGGTTCCTCATCCCGAGTGGTCTCTGGCCCGGCGAGGGCCCCCAGAGGCAGTAACAAATTGTCCTCGTTTAATTGTTTGTCCAATGCGTGGGCCCAGAAGTCTGGACCACTTCCTCAGGGCCGGCTTTTCGTCCTGAGTCGTTTTTTGACTGTCCCGAGGCCCGGCGAGGGCCCCTGGAGGCCGAAAACAACCAAAAACAGTCGGCTCCAATTTTCTGGAGCGTCGGATCTCTGGTGTGCGTGTGCCGATGTTTCTTCCTCGAGCCGTCCGGCCCGCTCGGTCGCGGCCCCGCGGAGCGACAAGCAAGAGCGACTGCTGGCAGCGTACGAGGGCATGGAGGGCCTGAGGCAGGCCCGCGCGGCGAGCAGCGGAGAGCTCCTGGCTGTTGGGGAGGCACCGCTCAAGATCGTCTGCCTGTCCTCGGACCCGGACGGGGACGCCGCGGCCGCGCGCCAGGCGCTGCCGGAGGGGCTCGTGCACGTCATAGCTGCGGAGAGGGGAACGAAGAATGACATGAGCAACAAGACTCAGAGATCCGCGCGGATTTCTCGGATGGGCGCTGGGGCCCCCTGGCGGCGCCTCCGGCGCCGCCCCCGGCGCGCTCCGCGGGCCAGGGAGGGGAGTCCAGCGCCGATCCGAGGAATCCGCGCGGACCTCCGAGCTTTCACGTCTACGTCATGCTTCGTTCCCCTGGCGGAGCAGCACGTGGAGTTCGTGGACCCTGGCGTCAGCAAGGGCCTCACGCTCGAGAGGCTCTGCGGGACCCTGCTCGGCTCGGCGGGGGCAGGAGGTGCGTTCTACAAGCCCAGGGTGGCGGGAGCTGCGCGCAGTCGCTGTTTGGAGCCTCGTCGAAGGCGTGGGGCGACAGGAGCCCCTGGACCGGAGGTTGACAAATAGAGCCCCCACCGTCCTCCTCTCCTCCTCCTCCTCCTCCTCCTCCTCCTCCTCCTCCTCCTCCTCCTCCTCCTCCTCCTCCCTCTCCTCCTCCCTCTCCTCCTCCTCCTCCTCCTCCTCCTCCTTTTCCTCCTCCTCCTCCTCCTCCTCCTCTCTCTCGTCCTCCCTCTCCTCCTCCTCCTCCTCCTCCTCCTCCTGCCGAGACAATCAGCGAGTTGTCTTTTTGCCATCCCTCGAGAGATTGAAGTCTAGGCCGCACTCTGTGGCGGGCCTGCGTCCGCCCGGTCGGTCTGGCCCCGGTGCACTGAAGGGTGTGTTGCTAAAGGGGTAGCCTTAAGGTCGGGGGCGGCAAAGAGGGGGGGGATGACTAGGGGGGGGGGGGGATGTCATGGCGGGGGCCATGATATCTCCCCAGATATCATGGCGCCTCTTCTTATTTAATCGCTTCGCTCATTCCGCCGGCCCATATTGTCGCACCGTTGTGGGCTAGCCGAGTTTTGGGGGCCGTTTTGGGGCCTCTTGGGGCCTCTTTTGGGCCTCTTGGGCGCCTCTTGGGGCGTCTTGGGGGCCTCTTGGGGGCCTCTTGGGGCCTTTTTGGGGCCTCCTGGGCGCCTTCTGGGGCGGAGGGCTCGATTTTTCAGTTCTCGGTTCCCCTCTTGAGCCCCTCTTGGGCCCGTCTTGGGGCCTCTTGGTCCGTCTTGGGCGGCACTTGGGCCGTCTTGGGGGCCCTCCTGGGCCGTTCCGGGGCCGTCTTGGGAGCCTCGTGGGCCGTCTTGGAGCGGTCTTGGGGGCCTCTTGGGCCGTCTTGGAGCGTCCGGAAGCCGAAAAAGCCAGAACACAAAAAACATCGAAAAAACCAATGAAAATCAACGATTTTGGCCTCTTGGGGCTCTCTTCGGAGGCCTCTTGGAAGGCTCTTGGGGCGTCTTGGAGGCCTCTTGGGCTGTCTTGGGGGCCTTTTGGGCCGTCTTGGGGTCATCTTCGGCGTCTTCGAGCGCTCTTTGGGCGTCTCGGGGGCCTCTTGGGCAGTCTTGGGGGCCTCTTGGGGCACTCTTGGCGCGCTCAGGGCGGCCTGAGAGGCCGCACCCAGAAGGAAAACCATCTCTGAGTTGAACCGGGCGGGACCTTGCCAGGCGGCGGGCGGGGTACTTTTCGCCGGGGGACCCCCAGGGGCCGCCCCGCGCGCGCGAACTAGTACAATACAATTGTTAACCAGTTACCGGAGATCTTAGCACGCCTCTGGCCCGTTGGGCCGGCGAATTCCATTGCGTCCCTGGCCCCCCCGCTGGGCCGCGCACGTGCCGCCGGTCATGATTTGCACCCCCCCCTCTTGGACATCCCCCTCTTGGCCGCTCCCGAGTTTTGCTAAAGGGGTAGCCTTAAGTCGGGCAGGGCACATCCCTCTACAGGAGGACAATTCAAAAGTAGTGAGAAAACAGTCCAGGGGCGATTTGTCCTTCACTTTTTGATTATCGGATATCTGTTGTTTCTATGTGTTACTTGTCGTCCAAATCCGCCTGTAGGAGGGCATGCCTGACCTAAGGGTACCCCCGAACGCCAGGTTGTTGCAGATCGTTAGTTGCGCCGCCGACCAGATGAGTTGTGCTAGAGGGGCTCCTGTCCAGCCCCGATTTGGATACATGTGAAAAGAGCGCGCTCGTGGCACACTTCTCACCAAAAGGGGAACCCCAGCTTGAAGCTACCTCCCCCCCCACCTCCTCCCTTGGAAACGAGGGGGGCTTGCGAAGCTACCGCCCCCCCCCCCCCACGCCACCACTTTTGTGAATTTGTTTCGCTGGTATGGGGCCCTAGCTAAAGGAGGGAGGGGATTGGAAGAGCCACCCTCATCCCCCCTCCTTTCCGGGTCCCGTGGTCAGCCCGGGCCACCCTTCCCAAAAGTGGGGAAAGCTTCCGAAACTTTCCCTCCCTCCTCCCTTTTGGATTTTGTAGCTGGGGGGTCCCTTGCTAAGGGGGGGGGGCTTGGAAGCTACCCCCCCCCCTCCCCTCCTTTTCGGGGCCCTGGGTCAGCCCGGGCCCCCCCCTTTCCAAAAGGGGGGAAGGCTTCCGAAGCTTCCCCTCCCTCCTCCCTTTTGGATTTTGTAGCTGGGGGGTCCCTGGCTAAAGGGGGGGGGCTTGGAAGCTACCCCCCCCCTTCCCTCCTTTTCGAGGCCCTGGGTCAGCCCGGCCCCCCCTTTCCAAAAGGGAGGGAGGCTTCCGAAGCTTCCCCTCCCTCCTCCCTTTTGGATTTTGTAGCTGGGGGGTCCCTTGCTAAGGGGGGGGGGCTTGGAAGCTACCCCCCCCTCCCCTCCTTTTCGGGGCCAGGGGCCAGCCCGGGCTTCCCTTTCCAAAGGGGGTGGGCTTCCGACGCTCCCCCCCCCTCCCCTCCTGTTGGCATTCCAGCTGGAGTGCCCTGGCTGAAGGGGGTGCTTCGAAGCTACTGCTCTTCTTTGATTTCCGGCGCGCAGTTGGTTTTCGGCGTACTTGTGGTTTTCGGCGTCTCTTTGTTTTTCGGCGCCTCTTTGGTTTTCGGCGCCCTTTGTGTTTTCGGCGTCCCTTTGGTTTTCGGCGCTCGTGTGGTTTTCGGTGCTCTTTTGGTTTTCGACGCTTCTTTTTAGTTTTCTGCGCCCCTTTAGTTTTCGGCGCATCGTTGGTTTTCGGCGCTCTCTTGGATTATGGCGCTCCTCTGGTGTTCGGCCCTCTGTTGGGTTTCGGCGTACTTTTGGTTTTCGGCTCCCTTTGGTTTTCGGCGCTCTGTGGTTTTCGGTGCCTCTTTGGTTTTCGGCGCCCTTCGGGTTTCGGCACGCCTTTGGTGTTTTGGCGCCCTAAGGCTTTCGACACCCTTTTGGTTATTGATGCATCTTGAAGTTTTCGGCGCCTTTTTGGTTCTCGGCGGATCGCTCGTTTGCGGCGCCCCTTTGGTTCTCGGCGCCTCTTTGGTTTTCGGCGCCGATTTGGAATTTGGCGCTCCTGTGGTTTTCGGCGCCCCTTGTCGTTTCGTCGCCCGGTTGGTCTTCGGAGCTCGTGTTGTTTTCGGCGCCAATTTGTTTTTCGGCACCCGTTTGGTTATCGGCGCCCCTTTGGTTTGTCGGCGCCCTTGTGGATTCGGCGCATCGTTGGTTTTCGGCGTCCTTTTGGTCTTCGGCGCCCCGTCCTTTTTAACCAAATGGGGAGGGGGGCTTCCAAGCCCTCCCCCCTCGTTAGCCAAAAAGGGGGGGGAAGGGGGGGGGCTTCTGGCAGTGGGAGTTCAAAGGGAGAGGGTAGCCAAGCCGCCCGCCCCCCTCCCCTGGAAAGGGGGAGGGGGGGGTAGCTTCCAGAGCACGAAGGAGGGGAGGGTGGGGGGGGTAGCTTCCGAGGGGCAGTAAAAAAAAGGGGTACGGGGTCGGGGGGGCTGCGGGCAGGGGAGGTCCAGGTGGGGGGGGGGCTAGCGAAGGAGGGACCCCCTTTGGTGTGATTGTGTCCACGGGCGCGCTCTCTCATGTGTGCACGTGCTCCCCCCTGGGCTGTCCGCTCCTGTTGCAGCCCGCCGATCGGCACGCCGCTCGAGCAGGTGGTGGCGTTCGGCGACAACCACAACGACGAGGATTATGATGTTCCAACCTACTTTAGCCTGGATGACCAGAAAGAATTTCGAGCACCAAGAAGGTACCGAAACTTGGATTTTTTAGTGTCGGGCCCTGAGAGGCGACACTGCTTCGACACTGTTTCGACACTTTTCTGGGTGCTCGAAATTATTTCTGGGATGTGGCCCTTAAGTACGATGGGAGCAACATTAGACGAGGACATGCTGCGCCTCGTTGGGGAGGGCGTGGCCATGAGCAACGCCAAGGAGAGCGTCAAGGCGGCGGCGGCGCGCAGCAGCGAGTGGTCCAACGACGAGGACCCAGATCTCCGGCGCTCCGCTCCGTGGCATCCCAGCGATGCTTCTCGATCTCGCCCTCCGGGGCCCCGGGGCCGGGCCCTCGGGGGCCATGGCGCCTGGAGCCGGGGCGGGAGACCATGCCTCTGGGGGGAGGGGGCAGGGGTCTCTGGGGCCGCGGGCTGAAACAGGACCCGCGTCGGCGGATCTCAGGGGGACGGGGAGGGAGAGCGCGCACAAGCATGGATCACGTAGCACTTTCGGAGGTCGGCGCTGACTTTTGGGTCGAGGCTGGGCTCCCCACCCCAGGCGCGGAGCGCGCCGGGGGCGGCGCAGGAGGCGACCCGTGAAATCCACGCGGACCTCCGAAAGCCTATGTGCACGTGCCGCCGCTTTCCTCTTCCCCTGTGAGCATCGGGGGCGTTCAAGAGGGGGGTGAAGGGCTAGTGCGGGTATCATGGCCATGATGTCTCCTCAGATGTTCTGGCCCCTTTTCTTACCTCGATTCGCCCCTGGGGTCTCCCCCCCCCAGCTGGGCCGCGCACCCGCCGACTTGGCGCCCCCCGAGACCCAGACATCCGACGATATAATTTTTGCAATGCGCAGCCCCCGAGGTCCCGACCCATTCCCTGGGGGAGGGTAGCTTTTCGCCCCGCATCCATTTTGGATTGTCCCCTTGCCCGAAAACGGGCCCCAGGGGTCGAAGGCCAGGAATACGCCAATAGTCGATATACTTCATCTTTCTCCTCTCCTCCTAATTCAAATCCTCCTCGTCCTCACCAGGAGGTTCATTCCTCCTCGTGGTTTTCCTCCTCATCCTCTACCTCCTTATCGCACTCCTCCTTTTCGTGTTCCTCCTCCTGTTCTCCCTCCTGCTCGCCGTGCTCCTCCTTGTATTTATCCCACTCCTCCTCGTGATCCTCGTCCTTCTCCTCCTCTTCGCAGTGCTCCTCCTCCTCCTCGCAATGCTCCTCCTCTGTGTCCTCGCATTCCTCCTCCACCCCCTCCTCCTCGTCTGCCCCGCCTCTTTCCTCATCCTCCTCCTCCTCGTCCCTCCTCTCCTCCGCTTCCTCTGCCATACCAGGGATGCCTTCGCATTCTCGATGCCGCTTCCAGGAGGCGTGCTCGCCAGAGATGCTCTCAGACAAGTAGGTTGGGTCTGTCCCCCTCTGCCTCTTCCATCAGTTATCTGTTTATCCTCCCTTTCTCCAGCCCCATCCTACCTCCTACCTCCTCCCTGCTTACCGCGCTGTCGCTCGATGCATCCCAACGATTTGCTCGGGCGTGGCTTCCCCTCGAGAAGCCTCTCGGAGTTTACCGAGGAATCGCGCTCGCGCCTTGGCGCCGGTTGCCTCCTCCGTCGGTGCATGGGGCGCCAAGACCCCTCCCGAAGCACAGCTCGACAATAGAAGGGTGATCAAATTGTTCGTTTGGGTCTGACTCCTTCTCCCTCCCCTTCTCGGAACCCAGAGTTTCGAGGATATCTCAGGCGACCACCTCGCGCGTCGCATCTCGGAGCCCCGAATTGCTAGGATGTTTCAATCCAAACGGGCCAGACAACCTCGCGCGCAGCACCTCGGAGCGAGTTACGAGGACGTATCAAGCGGAACTCGCGCGCGGCATCTCGGAACCCAGAGTTACGAGGATGTTGCAGACGTAACGGGCGAAATGGGCCAGACCATTTCTTGCGCGGCATTCCGGAGGTCAGAATTGCGAGGATGTCTCAGGCGGCGCCCAGACCCCTCCCAGAGCAAAGTTCGGCAACAGAAGTAGAACCGAACGGTTCGTTTGGGACTGATCTTTCCTCCCTCCTCCCTCTCGGGGCCCAGAGTTTCGAGGATGTCTCAGGCGAAATGCGCGCGACCACCTCGCGCGCAGCATCTCGGAGCGCAGAGGTGCGAGGTTGTCTCAGGCGAGGCCAGACCACCTTGCGCGCGGCATCTCGGAGCCCGGAGTTGCGAGGATATCTCAGGCGAAACCCGCCGAACCACCTCTCGCGCAACATCGTGGAGCCCACATTTCGAGAATGTCTCAAGCGAAATGGGCCCGACCACCTCGCTCGAGGCATCTCGGAGGTCAGAGTTGCGAGGATGTCTCAGGCGGCGCCCAGACACCTTCCAGAATACAATTCGACAACAGAATTTTAATCAAACTGTCCTTTCGGGTCTGACCCCTCCTTCCTCCACCCTTTCGGAGCCCGCAGTTGCAAGGATGTCTCAGGCGAAACACGCCCGACCACGCGCGCGGCGTCTTGGAGCCCAGATTTGCGAAGAAGTCTCATGCGAAACACGCCGGACCACTCGCGCGGCGTCTTGGAGCCCAGAGTTGCGAGGATGTCTCGGGCGAAAATTCCGGACCACCTCTCGCGCGGCATCGCAAACCTCAGAGTTGCGAGGATGTCTCAGGCGAAACGCGTCCAGCCACCTCCCGCGCGGCATGCGAGGATGGGTCTGAAGTATAACCAGCTGGTCCGTTCGGGTCTGACCCCTCCTCCCTCCTTCCTCCTCCCTCCTCCCTCTCGGAGCCAAGAGCTGCGAGGATGTCTCAGGCTAAACACGCCCGACCACCTCGCACGCAGCATGTCGGAGCCCGGAGTTGCGAGGATGTTTCAATCGAAACGCGCCAGACCACCTCGGGCGCGACGTCTCGGAGCCCAGAGTTGCAAGGATGTCTTAGGCGAAACGGGCCGGACCACCTCGCGCGCGGCATCTCGGAGCGCAGAGTTGGAGATGACTCAAGCGACATGTGCTGGACCACCTCGCGCAGGATCCCGAAATTCAGAGTAGCGAAGACGCCTCAGGCGAAACGCACCAGAACACCTCGCTCGGCGTCTTGGAGCCCAGAGTTGCGAGGATGCCTCATGCGAAACACGCCAGACCACTTCGCGCGCGGCGTCCTGGAGCCCACAGTTTCAAGGATGTCTCAGGCAAAACGTGGCGGACCACCTGGCGTGTAGCATCACGGAGCCCTGAGTTTGGAGGATGTCTCGGGTGAAACGTCACGCACCACCTTTCGCGAGGGATCTTGGAGCTCAGAGTTGCGAGGATGCCTCAGGCGAAACGCGCCGGACCACCTCGCGCGCTGCATTTTGTAGCCCAGAATTGCGAGACTGTCTCGGGCGAAGGATCCCATCCCAGTCAACTCAAAACCACAGTTGTGCGGATGTCTCAGGCGAAACAGCCCGCGGACCACCACATGTTCTTGAGGATGTCTCTGGGCGCTCGTCCCGGAACTGGAACTAGCTGGTGCCATAACAGAATTTTGTGAAGTAATTTCTTTGGGGAGCAGCGCTGTCACGAGGAGTTGAGGAGGAGAGGTAAGGGGGAGGAGGGGGGAGGGGAGGGGGAGGAGGAAGAGGAGGAGGAGGAGGAGGAGGAGGAGGAGGAGGAGGAGGAGGACGACGAATGAGGGGGGAGGAGGAGGAGGAGGAGGAGGAGGAGGAGGAGGAGGAGGAGGAGGAGGAGGAGGAGGTGGGAGACGCGCGGCGCTGCGGACCTCCAACGAGAACCAAACCTACTGGAGGGCTGGAGCACAGCCCAGAACAGCAACAGCACGCGCCAGCGGTCTGGGCCAGGAGGGCGTCGCCCGGGAGCTGCGGGCGCTGCTGGACTCTGGCGAGCTGGCGGGGCCCCCGGGCGAGGAGTGACTGCCCCCCAGGGCGCGGCGCGGCCCCGCGCGCGCCGGCCGAGGCACGCCGGGCGGCGCGCGGCAGCGGCGCGCGGCCGCGCGACGGGCAGCGCGCGGCCCTCGGGAGAGGCGCGCGCGCGGCGCCCCGGGACAGCCCAGGCCTGACATCCGGCGTCTCGGGATCCTCGAGGCTCCAGGATTCCCAGATGGGGTCCGAGCAGGTGGGGTCGGAGGATCGCGCCGCATCGCCGATGCATCCACGAGGCGGCTCGATGTGGGGCCCGTGTTTCCCCACGCCGACGTCGCCGATGCATCGCCGACGTCGCCGATCTATTCGATGCATCGGCGGCGTATTGGCGATGCGGCGCTATCCTTCGACCCCATCTACCCGGACCCCATCGAGTGGGGGGTTGGAGACGGGGGTCCGTGGAGCCGGTCGAGCAGTGGCGAGCCGTCCTGGCTTGCCCACAGAGTCAAGCCGCACAGAAAGGAGGCGCAGCCTTCCCCAGAGGTTGCCGTGGCATCTTGGCACCCATCGGTCCATCCTGGACCGCTTTCGCTGGCCGCGCCCCGCTCGCAGAGTGTCGGCGTGGCATTCTGAGGCCCCTCATCCGTCCCGCGCATCCTGATTCTACGGTTTGCCTGTAGGCCCGCTAAGGAATGCTCTGATAGCCTCCTGTGGTCTGCACGAAATGTTCTTAGATCACTTCGAGCTGAGGCTGTTTGTTTTAGCACATCTGATTTACTTTATGAGAACATTGTTGTGGTTCTTTTCACATTTCCGGATCCGGATTCGAAGGAAGTTTCGTGGTAGGCCTATAAGAATGCCGGGACGGTTGGTCCTTGCTCAAAACGGGGGTCAGCCAGAGCGCCAGATCTCACAGGATTCTGCAAAGCCAGGGTTGCATTGACCCAGGATAGCGCGCAGGATCCAGTAGGACTCCTGCAGGACTCTTGCAGGATCCTGCAAAGCCCGACTGACCCAGGTTTGCATTGACCTGGGTCAGCAGATCCCCGAGTTTTGTCATCCATTTCGGCCTCGCGGGGCTCTTACCGGGCCTCGGAGCCGTCAACAGGTGACTCGGAATGAACACACGATGCTGGGAAAGGGTCGTCTCAGTGTTTCGAGCCATGTGTTTTTGGTCCGTTTCGGGGCTTTCGACATCGCAGATCGATCCGGCTCGAAAAATGAATCGTCCTTCCCTCCCCCTTTTCCCCTCCCCCCCTCCACTCCCCTCTCCCCCTCCCCTCCCCCCCGCCGCAATTACACAACACAGATACTACACCCCCCTCTCCCCTGATGGCGTCTGGAAGATATCCGGCCCATCTCCGTACTGTTCTTGAAATAGGATTTCTGGGAAATGGGTTTTCGCTGAGTTTGTTTTCGGCATGTTGCTCCCGCCGAAGCGCTGGCACCATTTCTGCGCCTCTGGTTGTTCCAAATCGCGTTCCCGCTGCAGCGCGATCGTTTTTGGTCCTTCCAGATACGCCCCAAAACCTACGAAATCCCCCCCCGAAGCATACCATCGGAAGTGATTACTCATTATGTGTCGATTCGTTGATTATTTGGGCCGCAAAGGCCCCCACTTTGGGGCGTCGTCGCTTGCAGGAAATAACAAGCGAGAACCACATTTCTGATTTGAGAAGGCGACTTTGAAAGCAGAGCCAGCGGAGTACTCTCCATCAGCCCCGTGTTGTGTGGAGCTTTTCAGGGATCCCCAGGAGCTAGACATGGAGCCACGACTCCATACCGGCCCAGATCTCTCGAAGACGATCCAGGTAACCTCCAAGGGAATCTGGCGCCAGGCCATGACATGATGTGCGGTGTTGTGTTTTGCGCCGCTGTGCGATGCCATGCTTTGCGTTGCAAAGCTTCGTGATGCAGTGCTTCACTGCGCAATAGCACGCCATGCTATGGCATGCTACGCTCTGATGTGCCCTTCTACGCCGTGCCACGCCGTGCTCTACCATGCATCGCGTACCCTCTCGCGATGACTACCCTGCTTGACATCCAGCTGTGCGAATAGAGATGATATTTGCACCATCGTACGGGATGGGAGGGGAGGGCAGGACGTCCGATATGACGCGGGCTCACCTAGCTTGCTTCCCTGCCCCCCCCCCTCCCTTCCCCCCATTCCCTCGCCCTTCCCCACCTCCCCAACTACACAATCTGAATACTATTCTCCTCTCTTCCATGATGACGTCCATAAGATATCCGGCCCCACTTTCCACGTATTGTTTTTTACACACCAGATTTCCGGGAAATGGGTTATCGCTTGGATTTGTTGTTTCAAGCTGTCGTTGTTCCCGCCGAAGCGTTGGCCCCATTTCTGCGCCTCTGGTTGTTCCAAAACGCGTTCCCGCTGCAGCGTGAGCGTTTTCGGTCCTTCCAAATAAGCCCCAGCATCTACGAAATGCCCCCCCGAGAAAAACAACAGCGGAAATGATTATTCATTATGTGTCGATTCGTTGATTCTTTGGGCCGCAAAGGCCCCCATTTGGGGGCGTCGTCGCTTGCAGGAAGTAACAAGCGAGAACCACATTTCTGATTTGAGAAGGCGACTTTGAAAGCGAGCCAGCGAGTATTCTCCATCAGCCACGCCTTGTGTGGAGCTTTTCAGGGATCCCCAGGAACTAGACATGGAGCCACGACTCCATACCGGCCCAGATCTCTCGAAGACGATCCAGTTAACCTCCAAGGGAATCTGGCGCCAGGCCATGACATGATGTGCGGTGTTGTGTTTTGCGCCGCTGTGCGATGCCATGCTTTGCGTTGCAACGCTTCGTGATGCAAATGCTTCACTGCGCAATATCACGCCATGCTATGGCATGCTACGCTCTGATGTGCCCTTCTACGCAATGCCACGCCGTGCTCTACCATGCATCGCGTACCCTCTCGCGATCATTACCCTGCTTGACATCCGATTGTGCGAATTGAGAGGATATCTACACCATCGTACGGGATGGGACGGAGGGGCAGGGTGTCAGATATGACGCGAGCGCGCCTAGCTTGCCTCCCCCCCCCTGCCCTCACCCCCCTTCCCCCCGATCCCCCTCTCCTCCCCCCCCCCCTCCCTCCCCCCCTCTCCCCTCCCCCCCTGCCCTCTCGTGAAGTGTGCTCCGGAGGCCGTGGGGCTTCCTTGGGAATCCTGGGGGCACCTGCAGCCGGGGGCACTTTTAGCAACACCCGACCCCCCACGCACGCAAACGTGCCAGAACCAAGCAAAACACAGCCCTCCGATTGTGGTTCGAGGCCTCGGATCTCAGGGTCGTGGCGTCGATCGGGCGTGTGTATTTTTCTCGGCGAGGACCACCGAGGAACATTTTGAATCATCCTGCGAACAAATAAACGCACGAGCTCGAAGCATGCACGGGGAGTGGACGTCCGAGCGGTGGTGAGGGGAGCAGCGCGCGGCCCCGCGGAGCGGCGCGCGAGACGCCCTACGGAACAGGGACAGGGCAAGCCTCGCGGGGGCCCCCGGGAGGGACCAGCCGCCAGGGCAACAACAGTAGATGTCGGGGCCGTGAGCGGTTGGCTTCGGCCACGCGGGTGTGAGGACGGGAGAACCCGGGGGAGGAGGAGGGGGAGGGGGAGGGAGAGGAGGAGGAGGAGGAGGAGGAGGGAAAGCAGGAGGAGGAGAAGGAGGAGGAGGAGGAGGAAGGGTCTCCGTCGTCGTGCTCCTGGTGGGCAGGGCCCGCGAGAGTGTAGGCGGGCGCCTGACAAACCGCCTCGTGGTCGGCAGGAGAAGGAGGAGGAGGCGGAGGCGGAGGCGGAGACGGAGGACCACAGTAAGCCAAAGATGCGTAGGCGACGTTGCAAAACACCCTCCCGTCCCAGGTCCCCATGCGCCCCTGTAGGTCCCCCTTTTTCGCTACAAGAGGCGCGGCCCTGAAAAAGACAGCACACTCTGCCATGCGATTTTGGCGTGGGCCCCACTGTGGAAAGGAGAGGCCTTGCATCCTTCTGGCGCCGTGGCAGGAAGGCGGAGAACACTGATACCTCAGTTCAACGAGGTGTCCAACGAGAGTCCCATCTCGAACAAGGACCGTCCCCCTATCCGCGTAGCTCTTGTATTAGGTTACCCTTGTGATCATGAGTTTCGGGGACGTCTCGAGCGTCAGCTCTAACTATGTTGAAATAATGCCGCCATGGATCCGTGCAGCGCCACGTGAGCGACGAACGGAAAACGGGCTCGTCTTCACCGACATTGGTGCGTAAGCTAACCGCGCAAGGTCGCGCGTAAGCGCGCTCGCCTCAAACGTGGCGTGCCTCGCTGGAGGCCCGCGTAAGCCACCGCGTAAGGCCGCTACGACATCGCGCATGAGAGCCCGTTCTGATCGTCGCTTACGTGCGCTGCAGCTTCGGGCCTTTGAAGTTCATTCACAAACTTTCAGGCGATCGTCCGGTGTTTGCGAAGCGGCGATCCTCCATCCTGCTAAACGTCTCGTTATAAACCGAATGCGCGCAGCGTTGTGGCAACATTCCCAGTTTGAAAAAGAGCTGCCGTCCAGCCGCAAGCTAATGCGCACTTTACGCATAGAGGGCACGCGGCTTGAAGGCGAGGAAATCATTTTGAAACCGGCCCCCCTTCCACCAGTGAAGCAGTTGTAAATGTGTAAGACGAATGCGCGGCGCGTAAGCGAGATCTACATTTGAAAACGAACCCCCTCCGTCCGTGATCGTTGCAAACGTTTGAACCGAATGCAAACGGCGCGAAGGCGAGAGCCACATGTTGAAAATCGCCTGCCCCCCCTCCCATCCGTGAAACGGCTGCACATGTTTGAAACAAATGCGCGTGTCGCGAAGGTGGGATGCACATGTTGAACCCTCAATCCATCCGCGAATGTGCTTCGAACGTTGAAGTCTGCGAAGGTGCGCCTGAAACGAGAGACACCTTTCAAAAAGGAACCGCCCTCCATCCGTGAAGTTGCTGCAGACTTTATAAAAAAAACTGCGCTGCGCTAAGACGAGTTTGGACACGAACCCCCTTTATCTGCGAATGTAGTCTAAATTCCAAG